TTGCAAAGAATTTTATTAAAATTTCTGTAAATAATTGAATTTTGGCGAAGAATTTTGAAATTTATAAAGATAATTGAAATTTTATGAGAATTTTAAAAAAATTTTGTTTATAAATGAATTTTTACGATGAATTTTATTACTTTTCAAAATAATTGAATTTCCGCAATCATTTGTAATTTCTCCAAAATTAATTTTTTTTAGTATTGTTAACTAAAATTCTTCTATTTATGAAAATTGTAAACGCAACTCTTATAAAATTCAATCATTTTTTAAATTTTCGAGTAAAATTATTTTTTAAATAATTTCTAAGTAATAATTTTATGATAGTTCCTCAAGAATTAAGTTATTTAAAAAGAAATTATTGTTAGAATTAGAAAAAATTGAAGGTTTTGTATAAAAAAAGACGCAAAAATTGAGAATTTTCTTATAAATTTTAAAAATGTAATTTTTTCTAGTACTTTAAGGAAAAATCCCTGATTTTTTTCCATATAACATTATTAAAAAAAAATATTGCCGAAAATTGATTTTTCAAAAAAGATAATTGTTCATTCGTTTGATCACATAAAGTTTCTAAAAATAATTGAAAAATTTGTTTTTCGCATATGTGAAAAAAATATGTGCCTCAAAGGGTTAAAAAATAAAAAAAGCTTTTATAAAGTTGAGTATTTCGTATTTGTGTGACAGAGGAAATATACTGTCAAGGGTCAACCCGAACAAGTTGTTTTAAACGACCAAAGTGCTTTAACCTAGAAGTATTCATTTTCATTTTTATTACAAGAACTCGATATAGAAATTTGCAGTTCATCCAAAATTTTATCGATATATGTATTCATAAATTTTTTCTTCTCTCTCTCTCTCTCTCTCTCTGTGAATCTATATATATTTATAAATATAAAACACGAACAGAAATATTCTCAATTTTGTCGACATTGTGGTGACAATTTTTATTATGTACAATATTTCTTTTTTCGAAATATAAATGTGTGTGTGTATGCGTGCGTGCGTAAAAAAATCATTATTTAAAAAAAATTACCTTTGAAATCGAAGAGGGGAATTGGATTGAGAATTCTATCTTTTTTAAAAGCCTGTTATTATTCTCATTCACCCTTGTCAAAATCGATACTGTAAATCACCTGACATGGTTCGCAAAAGGGGGAAAAGATCAGAACGAATGGAAATTTTACTGCTACAGTCATGTCAAATAAGTGGGTATTCACGAAGATATGCAAATTGGAAAATGGATTACGTTACTTTTCCCAAATTGTCTCTAACCAGAACTCTCAAGACCGAAAATATTTGAATACATTAAAAATATATGGAGATACCAGTCTGTATTGTAAAAAACAGAATAAAAAAACTCGCAGTCATTCTCTGATTTTTTCGGATTTCAAATTGGATTTCCAAAAATTATTTTGCAAAAAAAATTTTATATTCAAATATTTAAATATTATCTTTCCCCATTATTATAATTATAATTATTATTCGAGACAAATTATAAACCTATTGAGAAACACACTTGTGAAATTTATTATTTTTTTCTCAAGTAAAAATAATTTAATGGCTCGAATTGAAGTAATTGATGAAAAAGTATCTTTCTTTAGTGGAAAGTACATGAGGCCAGAATATTTTAACCCCAATTCCATTTTTCAAACTTTCCCTCACAATTCTAAAATTTATGATTCTAATCAAAGAGAAAATACGAGGTAATTTATTTTTCAAGTGCTTTTCCGGGGTTGTGGTAAGCTTTTAAAATTTATCATTCGTTCAACATTTCTTTAAACTTGTAAATTACCAATTTTCTTTTCTTATTGTCCTTGTGTCTTCGAATAAACATGAAATGTAAAATACGATTAATCTGTTATTAATTAAATGGATAGGAATAATATAATTTTTTATTTATTAATAAAAATAATTTTTTTTCAAAAATTCTCAAATTCAAATTCAATTTTAAAATAAAAATGTCGGTCATTAATCTTTTTTCGATCTTTTTGAAACCTGATGAGGACCCAAAAAGGAATCGAAAAATGTTATCAAAAAATTAAACTTGACGACTAAAAAACTCGTTTCAGACACTTTACAAAACTGACAATAATTCAATTCTATATTTTATTTTCCTGACTTTTTCCTAATTTTCATCAAAAATATTTACTTTTTTCCTATCTTGCTGGTAAATTTTTTTAAATAATTGATTTATTTCGATAATTTTTATGAAAATTCTAATTTTAATAATTGAATTTCTGTGAAATTTTTATTATTTATGAAAATAATTGAATATTTGAGTGGAATTTTATCAGAAATTTTCTTAAATAATTGAATTCTGGTTGGAAATTTTATGAAAAATAGTAGATATTGAAAATCATTAAATTGCGAAAAGTTTTTTAAAATAATTGAATTTTACAAAGATTTCTATTAAAATTCTTGACAATAATTGAATGTCTATGTCAATTATTTAAATACAAAAATAAATAATTTATTGAATAATTAAATATTTCTTAAAATAGCATTTTTTTAAAATTTTTTATCAAGTATTGTATTAAAATTGTTGAAAATAATTGAAATTCTGCAAAAAAATTTATCAAACTATTTAAGAATAATTAAATTCTGCAACTTTACCAAAATTGCATTGAAAATAATTGAATTCATATGAATGATTTTATTATTTATGTAAATAATTGAATTTTTTGAAAGAATTATATTAAAATTTTTTAAAAATAATTGAATTCTTTTGGGAAATTTGATTAAAATAATAGATATTGAAAATAATTGAATTCGTGGGGATAATTTAATCCTGAAAAGAATTATATTATTTATAAAAATAATTGAATAATTCGAAAAATTTATTAAAAATGTTTTAAAATAATTTAATTCCCGTCAAGAATTCTACTATTTTTGTAAATAATTGAATTCTTCTATCTATAGAATTAAAAAATTTTTTTTAAATATTTTGAATTTAATATTTAATTAATTTAATATTTAATTTTTTAAATTTTAATCCTGCGATGAATTTTATTATATATGAAAGTAATTGAATTTATATAACAAATTTTATTAAAATTTTTAAAAATAATTGAACTCATGAGAAAAAAATTATTGTTCTTTAAAATGATTGAATCCTTCGTAAGAATTTTATAAACATTGTTTAAAATAATTTAGTTTTCCGAAATATAATAAATATTATGAACATTTTTTTTAAATTATTGAATTCTTGTGGAAAATTTTGTTATTTGTGAAAACTCGTAATTGAATTTTATGTTAAAATAATTTAATGTTTAAATTAATCAATTAATTTAAAATGGTATTCAAAATAATTGAAATTCTTTGATGAGTTTTATTATTTAGGAAAATAATTGAATTCTTGCTTAGAATTTTATCAAAAAAAGTTTTTAAATAATTGAATTTCCATGAAAAATCTTATTATTAGTGAAAGTAATTGAATTGTTGGGAAGAATTGTATAACATTTTTGTTAAATAATTGATTTTTTAGAAAATGCTATTGGGTCAGAATTCGTGAAATTTTCACAGAAAACAAAAAGTATTTTTTTTAAATATCGAAATGTTGAAAAAACATTTCTATTTGGCCTTAAGAATGTGTCCACCAAAAAACAGAAAAAAAAATTATTTTTTATAAAAGTTATTGCAAAATTCTCCTAAATGAATGAACCGATTTAAATGAACCAAGCGGGAATATATCAATTTTCAGAATTAAAACATTATTTTTAACTACGAAATGAACAAAACACTGTCAAATTAACATTTTTATTCAATTATATAACCATAAAAATTGATAAAAATGATCAAAAACTAAGTTCAGCGTTGATGCACAACACCGCGCCAATATAATTTGTTTATAACGTTTTAAATAATTGTCGCTCCAAAATTTTCTCAACGGATTTTGATTTCTTATAGTTTTAAGTGTATGTTAATATTTTTTTCAAATTTTTAAAAGGCGTAGAACATTTTAAAAAATTAATTGTTCATAAAAAATTTATTAAATAATTATTGAAAAATAAACTTTTTAAAAATTTTCTAATTCTAAACGAAAGTATATTTTATTCCCTTTATATTCCCGCTTGGTTCATTTAAATCGGTTCATTCATTTAGGAGAAATAAAATTTTGTTTAAAAAGTTGCAAAAAAATTACTTTTGGAATAACTTTTAGAAAAAATAATTTTTTTTTCTGTTTTTTGGTGGACACATTCTTAAGGCCAAATAGAAATGTTTTTTCAACATTTCGATTTAAAAAAAATACTTTTTATTTTCTGTGAAAATTTCACGAATTCTGACCCTATTCTAAATTAATTGAATTCCTGTAGAAATTTTATTATTATTTATAAAAATAATTGAATTTTGGATGAATTTTATCAAAAAATTTTTTTAAATAATTGAATTCTTTTGCAAAATTTTATGAAAATAGTAGATATTGAAAAGAATTCAATTTCGAATAGTTTTTGAAAATAATTAAATCGTTTGAAGAAATTTGATTATAATATTTTCGTTAAAATAATTTTTTGATTTAAACTATTATCGAATTTAAAGCAGTGGAAATTCTAGAAAAAAAAGAAATAGTGTCTTTTAGTGGCTGAAATCTAAAAAAATTAGCCAAATAGTAGCATAACTTAAAAAATGTAGTAAATAGTAGGTTTTTAGTATAGATGAGTGCGAAGTCTGGCGTTACGTAAAAAAATCTTCAAATAAAATTTATTCGAAATTTATAAAAGAAAAAAGAAAAGTCTTTGAGTCAAATATATATTTTTTCTAAATGAACTAAATTAATAAAATAATATTAATATTTTGATTGAGATGTTTAATACATTAGTTGCTATTTGGTACTTGAAGATAAAATCTTTCACAAGCATTAAATAAAATCAGTAGAGTTATTAATTGTACAAACTATAATATTAATAACTTTTGCATATATTTATTTAATAGTTAACGACAATGTTCTGCCGTAAAGTCTCTCTTTTTAAATAAATTTCACTACTTTAAGGCGTCTTGATAAAACAATAAATATTCCAAATTACATACATAAAGGCCTTTATTAAACTAATTAAAATTGAATATATAAAAGATTACAAAATCGTTTCTATAATTTATGTTTGCTTGACGACTACTCGTCGGGAACTATCGCACCTTCCTATCGTCGTCGTTTACCAAAATTCTCCCCACTCATTCAAATTAAAATTCGTCGAACACAATCGCGTAGCGACATGCCGCCCGCCTTGATTAATCAATTAACATACTTTAATCACAGTCTAAGGGTAACGGCGATACTCTTTTTACTCCTCGCTTGCAGATGCCATTTTTCGTCTTTACCGAAACAACACGTATTATGCCATCATCTCCTGCATGCGTTTCAATCACTCTTCCTAACAACCATTGCAGTGGTGGCAAATTATTATCTCGTAATACAACCATAGAATCTACCCTTACAATATCTGCACTACCTTGAAACCATTTACTCCTTACATTGAGTTCACTCAAGTATTCAACATACCACCGTTTCCAGAGATCTTGGCGCAATTTTTGCAAATGTTGCCATGACGTCAAAACATTTACCTTTGTAGCCGAATAATCAAGCGATGGCAAATCCGCAAACGAGGTTCCTATCAGGAAATGGCCCGGCGTTAACGCGTCAAGGTCATTTGGGTCAGACGACATTGGAGTCAATGGTCGCGAATTCAAAATTGACTCGATTTCCGTCAAAAAAGTATTTAAACTCTCATAACTAAACAAAGTGTCTCGTAGGACTCGATGGGCATGATGCTTCACCGATTTCACGGCCGCCTCCCAGATTCCTCCAAAATGCGGTGTCCTCGGTGGAGAAAAATGCCAATCGACTCCCCTTTCCGCTGCAAATTTGCGAGTTTCATCATCGCATTTTTTTGAATTGAGCAAGTCATATAACTCCCTTAATTGATTATTCGCGCCGACAAAGTTAGTTCCGTTATCGGAATATATCGACCTTGAAACTCCCCTCCGCGCGAAAAAACGTCTCAAGCAACCAATGAATGAATCGGATGTCAGATCGCCCACCAACTCCAAATGTACCGCTTTGATCGACAGACAAACAAAGACTGCTATATACACCTTCACTTTACCTCTGTTTCTATGCACCTTTTCTTTTATAAAAAATGGCCCACAGAAATCAATTCCCACATTCTCAAAAGGTCGAGCTGCCGTTAATCTAACTCTAGGAAGATTGCCCATTTTGTAAAATGGTTCTCTTGGTTTTACCCGAAAACATCTGATGCATGAATGCAATACGTTCCTGACCAACGATCTACCGTCAATTATCCAATATTTAGATCTCAGTGCGTACAGTGTGGCATTAACCCCAGAATGTAAATTTTTTTCGTGATATTCTCTAATCAATAAACGCGTTACAATATGTTTTTTCGGCAAGACAATTGGATGTTTTTTGTTGTCGTTAATGGCAGCATTCTCAATTCTGCCCCCCACTCTCAACATTCCAGCAACATATATGGGAGACAATCTGTTCAAGGTCGATGATTTCGAAATTTCCTTCCCTGCGTGTGCATTTTTTATTTCCTCTTCAAATTCTTCGCGTTGTACCAATTGCATAATCCGATCTTCTGCAATTTTCAATTCGGTGGCAGTGAGAGGACCATCTCGATGACTTAGTTTGCTTGCATTTTCCTTGAACCGAAACGACCAAGCGAAAAATCTCCTCAATGCTTTCATGGATGAAAATCTTTCCCAAAGATCAGAATTTTTTTTCGTAATCACTGTGAGTGTTACTACGTTCTCTGCAGAATCTGCTTCCATTATTTTTTCTCTTCGATATTCAGGCCAATGATCTTCATTCTTCTTCAGCCACTCTGGTCCCTCCTTCCATAATTCGTTCAGCAAGAAGGTTGATGGCAATACACCTCTCGAGACCAAGTCCGCAGGGTTTTGCTTAGTGGGTACATGTGACCATTTTCCAGCAGCTGTAAGTTCTTTAATCTCGGAAATCCTATTGGATACAAAAATCTCTCTTTTTTGTTCCGGTGATTGAAGCCAAGCCAAGACGATGGTAGAATCGCACCAAAAATGAATGGAATCGAGATTTAGATCTATGGCAGTTCCCACCATCCTGTAGAGCCTCGCGAGCAACAGAGCGCCACACAACTCCAACCTGGGCAACGTCACAGCCTTTATTGGAGCTACTCTGGACTTAGCACACACCAAGGTCGTTTTGATTTCCTCTTTCGTAGCTACTCGTAAATAAATGCATGCTCCGTATGCTTTCATGCTAGCGTCGGAGAAGCCGTGCAGTTGGATGTTTGTAGCTTCCGGCATCAACATATGACGATCAATGCTCCATCCATTCAGCACTGGCAGTTGAGCATGATAATCCACCCACATTTTTCTTATATTTTCAGGAACTCCGTCGTCCCATCCAAGTTGTGATCTCCAGAGATCCTGTAAGATGATCTTGGCCAATACTACGATCGGTGACACCAAACCCAACGGATCAAACAATTGGGCAATTCTTGATAATATATTGCGTTTAGTCCATTGTTCGATCACCGGTCCCTGACTCACTTCAAAGATTAACGTATCCTCGTTGGCACTCCAGCCAACGCCCAGCGTTCTAGTGATCTTCTCCGGATCCAGACTGATCATCGTGGTTCCAGATTTGTCCGGTAGATCCATCATGATGGCTGAATGATTCGAAAGCCATTTGCACATAGTGAGTCCCGCTCGATTTGTGATTGTTATGATATCATCTCGCAATCTCTTAGCTTCCTCGACAGAATTGGTACCAGTCAACAAATCGTCCACGTACATATCCTCTTCAATTGCCTTTGCTGCCAACGGATACGAGGTCCTTTCTTCATGAGCTAGCTGTTTAAGACATCGCGTCGCCATGAAAGGAGCACATGCTGTTCCATATGTGACCGTTTTCAGCTGGAACGTTCGCAACGGTTGAGACTGATTCCATCTCCACAGAATTTTCTGGAACTTCCTGTCTTCCGGATCTATCCAGAACTGTCTGTACATCTTTTCGATGTCTGCAGAGAGAACTATCCTATAACATCTGAATCGGAGTATTAATTCAAAAATTCCATCTTGAATGGTTGGTCCAATTCTCAAGGTATCATTGAGGGATAATCCAGTTGTTGATTTTGCAGATGCGTCGAAGACCACACGCAGCTTTGTTGTTAGACTGGATTTTTTTACTACCGCATGATGAGGTAGATAGTACCCCTCATTTGGTCCACTTCCTGACGGCTCCATGTGATTCAACTCCAGATATGATGACATGAATTTATGATACTCCAATTTTAAATCAGGATTCTTTTCCAATCGTCTCTCCAACATGAAAAACCTTTTCCTTGCCATCTCATAACTTAGACCTAAAAGTGATCTTTTTTCATTAAATGGTAACTTTAACATGAATTTTCCAGAAGTCAAACGTTGAACATACTTCTGAAAATGAGTCTCACATAATTCCTCATCACTAGAAATTTGTACTCGGTCACTCACCTCTTCTAATTCCCAAAATTTTTCTACCTTTTCGTGTAGACCTCCTCGGACCAAATGACAGTGTACTTTTTCCTGATTCCATGTTCCTCCTAGCTTCCCTGAGACTACCCAGCCTAATTTAGTATTCTGCAGTCCCAGTCCCGGATTTTTCAGTTTCATTCTTCCATTTAGCAGCAAATCGTAGAACACCTCAGCACCGATCAAAGCATCAACTCTCTTGGGATGATGAAAATCTGGATCCGCTAAGCAAATGTCCTCTGGTATAGATAATGAATTTCTCTCAACAATATTGGCAGGAACATCTCCTGTGATGTGAGGCAGAATCAAGAAGCTTAACACTGTCGAATAATTAGAACATTTAGATTTTAATCTCAAACTAATCCATTCCGAACATGAAGTTTCTATGTTATTAACAACTTCCACTGCTAAATTTATTTTCCGTTTTTTACAATTTAATCGGCTTGCTAACTCTCGCGATACAATATTTGGCTGCGAGCCACTATCCAAAAGTATTCTACACGAATATTTACAATTATCATCGTCGAAAATATCTACCATTGCTGTAGACAACAATACCTTTGATGCGTCATAAATATGTAAATTAGTAATACTCGATCTATTATTTGATTGTTTATTTTCATCGGTAACAGTGTATACTCTCGATTCAATATGAAGTAAGGTGTGATGACGTTTTCTACAAATAGTGCAATTACCCGACCTACAATCTCCCACTAAATGATTTTTTTTTAAACAATTGTAACATAATCCTAGTTTTTTCACACATGCCGATCGTTCCACGGTTTGCATTTTCTTAAATTCCTCACAAAATGGCACATTATGATTTCCGTTACACACTGGACATGTAAAATTAGATTGTACGTTCAATAATGATTTTAAATTTGCACCCCTGTTTGTCTGTACTGTTTTTCCCAATGACCTTGAATTAGAATCGTTTGTTTTATTTCTATCTGAATTAAAATTAACTGTCTCTAAAATTTGACATTTTTGACTTAAAAATTTTTTTAATTCGTTAAAGGTTGGCATTTTTGATCCCACTATGGACCTCTCCCACTCCTTCCGGGTATCTCTATCCAATTTGGAGGTCACCAAGAAAACTAACGGAGTATCCCATTTATCAGTTGGCTGATCAAGAACCGATAAAGCGCGAATATGTCTCAGAGCATCGTCGAGCAATTTTCTCATACTCGAGGACGAGTCTCTTGAGACCCCCGGCAAGTCAAAAAGAGCTTGCATGTGATTCTGAATAATAATTCTACTATTGTCAAATCTATCTTTCATCAGAGTCCAAGCTACTGCGTAGTTATTCTCGGTAGTCTCCAAATTCTCTATAATTCGCGCTGCATCATTTTTCACGAACGAACGTAAATATCTCAATTTTTGAATAGTAGGAATTGAATCGTCGTCATGAATTACTGCTGTGAACGCGTCTCTAAAAGCTAACCATTCGTCGTATGCACCGGAAAAAGTGGGCAACTCCAATTTAGGCAAGGGAAATAAATTACGCGATCTTTCACTGACCATTGTTCCGCGCGACGAAGCCATTTCCCTCAAGGACGCGAGTTCTGCTTCACGCTGAGCAATGATTTCTGATTCTAATTGAGCAATACGCGCTGATTGCGCTTCATTTCGGTTTTGTTCGATGCCAGAAACTTGAGATGTTTTTTGATTAAGAAATTTATTTCCTAAGGATACATATTTATAGTAATATTCTTCAAACTCTGTTCGTTCAGGGTCAAGATCCTGTGCAGGGAACATTAATTCAACGGCTGTTTGCGCTTTGTCAAATTCTTTCCATACTTCTTCGATTTTACTTAAACGCACCCGAAACTCTTCGATCGATACACTATCTTTATTTTGAGTTCCGACATATTTTTCAAGAAAAGTTTTAAATTTAGTCAATCTTGTTCTACACGTTTTCTTTATTTGTTTCAAAGTCTCGACGTCATCGGATGACATTTTTAAATTTATAAATTTTTGGCAATTAATTAATAGTTAAAGATTGACTAGTCAAAATAATTAAAATAATTTACATTCGTAACTATAATCATTAAATACTCAAAACGAAACAATTTAATAGTCAATAATAAATATAATCGTCGTTAAAATAAAATCGTTTAAACTTTCATAACTTACAAATCACAGTTTTGATAAATTTGCGTACTTACAATCAACTTGAAGATAACAATAATTAATTCTACTTGCGACAATGTTGATATTAGATGACAATAGAAGTTTATTTTTCTGCTTGTCCTCTCCTCGTCCTTATCCAAAATTTTCTCGTTCTTGATGAATAAAATTCCCAGTTGTCGAATAAAATTTATTTCCAAGTTTTATTTTCCTCAAATTATGAAAGTCCCAGATATAAATTGGTTAATTTTTCGAAATTGTTGAATTAAAATTGTTGAGTTCCCGACGCCAAGATTCTCTGATCACTTTACACAATGTTTTTTAATGATCAGCCGATTAGAGTTCACAATAATTTCAATACCATCCGGCTCGAAGGACCATGTTCTGCCGTAAAGTCTCTCTTTTTAAATAAATTTCACTACTTTAAGGCGTCTTGATAAAACAATAAATATTCCAAATTACATACATAAAGGCCTTTATTAAACTAATTAAAATTGAATATATAAAAGATTACAAAATCGTTTCTATAATTTATGTTTGCTTGACGACTACTCGTCGGGAACTATCGCACCTTCCTATCGTCGTCGTTTACCAAAATTCTCCCCACTCATTCAAATTAAAATTCGTCGAACACAATCGCGTAGCGACAGACAATTATTGGTAAAATGTTGAAAGAGCCCTATTGTAAAGTTTATGCAGAAAAGTGGAACAGTGACCTTTCACCGACCCAGTTCCATTGGGTAAAATCGTCGACCGTTAAGGGCGAGTGCTTTAAACCATAGAGTACTTCACAGCATCTAGTGGATCTTAAGCTTTATGCCCATTGTTAAGCAAAAACACGAGAGAATAGAGAAGAAGAGTAATGAGATATAAAACGCAAACCCTATACACATAAACTAAATATCAATAAAAAATGGAAACCGTTATTTCTGATACGGAGAATATTACCACGAGATATAAAACTTTTTTCTTAGTTAACTATTATGCGGTGCGTTCTGGTTTAGAAACACTAAAGCCATTAGCGTTTTATTTTTCTTTTCCCAATTTTTTCCCCCGTATTTACGATTTCATTAATGTGCGCGGGAAAAACAAAAAATTATAGTTAACACTAATTTAGTTTGTACTTTTCACTTTATGATCATTTTATTACAAAGTTATTTCGTGTATTGACTCTTCTCTCACGCTGCTGTTTCATGACTAATGAATCTTTTACACGACTATTAAAACAAAAGTGTGAAACTTTTTACAGAATTTATAATGCCACATTTACGAGAGACCGAGATTAATTTTATACTTTTGATAAAATTAATCTCGATATAATTTTAAACGTATATATTCACATTCATTATTGGTAATAAATTTTTATATATTTCGCCTTTCTATTTATATTTTAAATGTTAATTATCCTATTGGCAATAAAAATAATTTAATACATACAGTGCCGCTCAATAACTTTTGCCCACCCTACAGCGATTGAAGGCTTTACAAAAAGTTTTGTATTTTGCTTATTATTAAAGATAAAAAGCTCAAAAAGGTCTCTTTTTAAAGCTCTTTTCCTGAGTTTTAACACTGTATAAAACAAAAATTAAAAAAATTAATTTGTTAATGTTTAAAAAATGTTATTGCAACATAAAATTTTTCGTTTTTTTTCGTTTTTTTTAAAGCGATACAGTTTCATAGGAAATGGTCGCATTTTAATTAAACACATATTTTCTGAAAGCTAGTTTTATCACCTTTAAAATGCATTTTTAAAAATTTTTATACGATCATTTTTAAGAAAAATATGATTTTTTGTTTAAAAAATTAGCCATTTTTTTTAATTGTTGATAACTCAAAAACGCTTACTTTAGAAAAATATATTTTAAGAACATAAATTGTTCATTTTTGTGTCCAGAATTAGAAAAAAAATATTAAAAATTTTTGTTTGAAAAAAATTTTTTTGACTTTTTTTAAGAAAAAAAATTTTTTTCCTTTTTTATTTTTTTATGTTTTAATTGTAGAAACTCGCTTTTTACACTCAGTACAACAAGCAAGAAAATTTTTCAACGTATTTATTTAATTTTTTTCAATAATTTTAAATCACCAATCATTTAAATAACTTTTGATATAATACTTATTTATTATATTGTTTGTAAACGGATTAAAGGTTCTTAATTACTTTGACGATTGTCATCATAATGTCAGTCTTGTGACAATTGTCACAAGTGAGTGTAAAAAGCGAGTTTCTGTAATTCAAACATAAAAATATAAAAAATAAAAAAAAAAATTTTTTCAAAAAAAGTCAAAAAAAATTTTTCAAATAAAAATTTTTAATATTTTTTTCTAAAGTAACCGTTTTTGAGTTATCAACAATTGAAAAAAATGGCTAATTTTTTAAACAAAAAATGAAAAAAAAGTGAAACTGTATCACTTTAAAAAAAACGAAAAATTTTATGTTGCAATAACATTTTTTAAACATTAACAAATTAATTTTTTTAATTTTTGTTTTATACAGTGTTAAAGCTCAGGAAAAGAGCTTTAAAAAGAGACCTTTTTGTGCTTTTTATCTTTAACAATAAACAAATTACAAAACTTTTTGTAAAGCCTTCAATCGCTGTAGGGTGGGCAAAAGTTATTGAGCGGCACTGTATGCAGACATATTGTTCAAAAAATAAATCAGTTAATTGGGAAAAAAAAATTTTATGCTTAAAAATAATTCAGTTATTGTTCGATCGATGCTGGTACCAAGTTAAAAAAGAAAAAAGTTGTCTATTGACCCATATATGTGTATATAGACTTTTTTTTAAATTTATTTACTGTTCATGTGGAAACCTTTTCTAAAGAAATCTACAATGTCAGTAGAAAAGTCAGTTCCTGCAAAGACTGGGTATTTATAATCCCAAGTGGAAACAAAACTTTCTAGTCAGACACGAAAGTACATTTTCAAGATAAAACTTATACTACTGGTGAAACACCACAATATTTTCCAATTCGTTTTAACTTTTTCGTTTCTAAATTGAAAAGTTAAAATCGATTTCATAATACTGATTTAAAAAATTTATTTCTATATTTTCAGCAAAAATAAATAAATAAATAAAACCTTTACAAGATTGAACTATAATTTTTTATTTTTAAATCTTCTTTCTTCTTTTGTATATAAATGGAAATCTGATTTTATTTGAAGGATCAAAAGTGAATAAATCTTTACTGACAGTCAACCACTTTTGACTGAAACTTTACATTAGAATTTCACTGAATTTTCAAGAATATGCTTTTGAGTTCTGAAATTGGATTAAATTGACTAAAAATTGACTAAAATAAACTAAACACGATTAAAAATTACAAATTTAAATAAAAAAATAAAATTAATTTCAACTGCAAACAAGCTGTTTTTTTAATAAATTTAATAAAGAAATTTAATTAAAAATGCATTGACAAAAATTATTAAATTTTAATAAACAAATAATATAAAATTATTTTTAAATAATTGAAATCTTGCGATGAGTTTTAATAGATATGAAAATAATTGAATTTTTAGAACGAATTTTATTAAAATTTCTAAAAATAATTGAATTCTTAAAAATAATGTTATTATTTATAGAAACAATTGAATTCTTGAGAAGAATTTTATTATTTATAAAAATAATTGAATTCTTGCGAAGAATTTTCATAAAATTTTTAAGAAAATATGCATTTTTCGAGGAATTTATTAAAAATTTTATTAAAAGTAATTGAAATCCCGCGATGAGTTTTATTATTTATGAAAATAATTGAATTTTTGCAACGAATTTTATTCAAATTTCTAAAAATAATTAAATTTTTAAGAAGAATTTTATTAGGACTTATAAAAATAATTGAATTTCAGCAAGGAATTTTATTAAAATTTTTAAAAATTATTGAGTTCTTGAGAAGAGTTTTATTATTTATAAAAATAATAGAAATCTTGCGAAGAACTTTATTAAATTTTTTTTAAAATAATTGAATTCTTGCGAATAATTTTACAAAAATCTTTTTAAATAATAGAAATCTGCAAACGATTAAAAATTACAAAATATATTAATAAAAAAAATAAAATTAATTTAAAGTGCAAACAAAAAAAACTTCTTGCAATCTGATTTTTAATAAATTTAATAAAAGAAGCTTGTATGGAGTTCAAATGAATTTAATTTTTTCATTTTTATTCGTATGCACCTTGACGACATGCATTTTCAATTTGTACAGTCTTTAAATTCAATTTAATAATTTTATTATTAAAATTTGCTTTTATTCCGTTTCTCCGTATGCTATTTATTTGATGCAGTTTTTCCGTATGCAGTTCAAATTAATTTTATTCTTTTATTAAAATTTGTCATTTTTTATCGTATGTAGTTTGATGGAGAAGAGTTTAAATTCGTATTGCTTTTAAATTAAATTTAATAATTTTATTTTTAAAATTCTTTTGCATGGAGTCTTCCAGTTCAGAGTTGAATTGTTTGGGCAATAATATTGATACCGCCGCAAAATGTTTATGAATCTAAAAAATTATTCTTTTTTGCCTTGAAGCCCGTAAATATTAACAGAATAAAAGTGACATTATTATTATTGTTGTTTTTGTTATTATTGTTATTATTGTCATTTTTATTATTATTTTTATGATTGTCGTTGTTATTCATATTAAAAAAGATGAAATATCGAAATTCCGGAGAACGATTTCCATAATATCAAAACAATAATATTTTAGCTAAATAATTTATATCTCTTTATGCATACAAGGAATTATGTGTGTTATCAGTATATGGTAATTTATTGTCAGGAAGTCGCGTGCTTAAAAGAATAAATGTTTGACATACATAATTAACTAATCATACATC